TTTGATAAACAGACACTCCTTCACGAAACAATGGAGCTATATCCTAATAAACCCATTATAAATTGACAGTATTATGAATTTAAATGCATTTACTTTACCTAACCTACGAACATCATCACTTAGCAACGCACTGTACTATAGAGTACTGGTTGTTTATTCTTGTGATAACATAGCTGACTGGGAGTTGCACATCACTGCTGCTGCCCAGCATGGAGAGAATCTCGACAGACATTGTTAGCCGAGGAAAGGATAAAACATTTGAAGCACAGTTGCTACTGAATGCATGTCATCTTTGCACCATCTAAAATTGAAAAAAATCTTAAGTTCAAACATCATAAGTTGGACACCATCTATGTAAGCTTGCAAAGTGAATTTTTTTATAACTTCAAAAATCTAATTGTATGGTAAGGATGATGCTACTCGGTGCCTCAGAAGGACAAATTATGATTTGAAAAATGAAAGACAGGGACTGAGGACGTGGCTCAGTGATATAGTGCTTGCCAGAAAAGCATGAAGCCCTGGGTTCAATTCCCAGCACCAAAAAAAAGAAAGAAAATAAAAATGAAAGACAGTTCTTTTATTCATCAGTTTGACAGTTTTCATTTCTGGTCTTACATTTAATTTCTTGTACTTGCAAATTTGTATTTTACATAGTTGTTACTCATGGATTTTTAAATTTAACATTCTTGGAGACATTTCTGTGTATATGGGCTTCTTAATATGTAAATCATATAAAATAATATAGCCATATTCTAGGAAAATTAGATAGTACGAAAATGATTACAGTGTTTCATAGACGAAGAATTTGGCATGTATTATAAATAACTCCATTTCATTTATCTGGTTTTTTTTTTTTCTGATTAGAAAAATAATACATGTTTGTTAAAGAAGAAGTTTAGGCAGGAAAATAGAAGAACACAACTTAAGTTGGGAACTTTCTGTACACCATTGGGGAAATCCCAAGATACAGATTTTTTTTTAATTTATAAAATTAGTTCATTTTGTTTTCATAGACCTATTACATTCCTTGAGGATGAGAAACACATCTCATTCATTTTTATATCCCAGGCATCATTCCTAGCATATAACAATTGTTTGGTAAATGTGACTTGTAGGCTCTCTGAAATAGTGAAAAAAAAAAAAACAAAAAAACTAGGAGTTAGAAGACTTGGAGGGGTTTTTACCCTTAATTTATTATAGCTCTAGGAACTTGGAAGATTATATGACTATTTCCCCTTTTTGGTGCTGGGAATTGAACCCCATATGAATGTGAATATGTGACACCTTTTGAATCTCAGTTTCATGAGCTCTGGGATGTACTACTACTACTATTTACTTTACAGAATTGGAAAACAAATGCGATAGAATACCTTAAAGTGTCTTGTAAAATTAAAAAGTGCTATCCAGTTGTGAAAGTCACCATCATTTTTTTTATATTTTTGAGAAGTTCTTACTGAAGAACTCTATGGAGAGTATGGCAGATTCCTAGCTGTTCACCAAAAAGGTCTACTTTTTCTTCTTTCTGGGAATACAACTAGACTGTTTGTGTTCCTCTCTTGCATTTAGGTGCGGTCATGTGACTGAGTTCTAACTTTTGGAATGAGCAGAAATAGTATGCACTGCTTTGAGGCCTCATTCATAAAAACCTGCTATGAGAGTCCTTTCTGAGCTTTCTTCCTCTTTTTGGCTGCAGTAGAGACAACCTTCAAAGTAACGTTAGAAAAACACCTTAAATATAGAAGCACCACTTTGAATCTCATGTCTGCTAACTAACTTTACCCATCCAATTCTTCTACATGAACAAGAAATAAACTTCTGATGTACTTGAATCATAATACATTTGGGGTCTTCTTGTTAAAGCAGATGGACTATCCTATTATAAGAGCATGCCAATATTTGTTCCACTTTTTCTTTAGAGAAGCAGCATCTTCTCAACAAACAGCCTTACAAACAAGAAGTAATATCAAAGAAATAATTACAAAGATTTGTAGATATATGTGTTCTGTGACCCAAGATGAAATTGAAGACAGAATTATCATGTGAAAATTGTCTGTTCAGAAAAGTTAAAAATGAGGCTTATAATTAAAGTTTCATTGGACAATTTATATAGCTTTTTAATCTTATTTGTTTATTTTTTTACTTTTTTATTGTTGAGGCCAAGATTCCAAAAGAATATAAAAGAGGAAATATCTGGATAATATCTTGCTTTAATTTGTGTTTTAAAACTTTTCCTTTAACATTAAATATGATACGCAAAGTGTATACAATATTTTCTAATGATAGTAATCATGTAATTTGAAAGAAACATGATTCCTTCTCTCCAACTCTATTAAGTTGTTGTAACCCATTTCTTAATAAAAGCTTTTTGTTGAGGAGTAGGTGCTGGTATCTAGACACACTCCAGAAATTGTAGGGCAAGACATTTTCTTCAAAATATGCCTATCTGTGAAATTCCATGTACCTTCCTAAGGAATACTGAGGAAATTCAAGTACACACCAACCCAACGTATGGCAATTTTTACCCAAAGTTAGCCAAAGTAACTGATAAAACTGGATTTTGTCATATTCTTCATGGGGGGAAAGGGTCTCTTTAAATGTCTTTAGGTTTGATGTGGCCCCGTAGTATCTTTAATCGCAAGTACAATTTTAATCAGTCTATTTATCTAGCAATTAAAGTTTAATACATTCAGCTTTCAAGTATTTTGATTACAATAATAAAACACCACTAAACAAAATGAAAATAGCTTTCACAGAACTCACGTACTTTACTGCCTAGAAAAGGAGCTACTAACCTTTTTCTTCTGAGGCAGTAATTTAATTTTACACATTATGTTTAGTAATCTGATTTCCCCTGAGGAGCTTGGTGGTTCTGTGGGTTACAATTAATTCAAATAAGAAAGAAGCTATGCATAGCAAGTTAGAAATAGAGGAAGGAAGAAATAAACTATAAACTTTAGGGGATAATAGCAAAGGACAGCCCAGACATTAGAAGAGAAGGAAAAAATCTTATGAACAGGATACCATGCCTAGTCCTATTCTCTGGCATACTTTTTTTTTTTTTTTTTTTAGGTGTAGATGGACACAACACAATACCTTTATTTTTATGTGGTGCTGAGGATCAAACCCGGGTCCTACCCATGCTAGTAGGCGAGCGCTCTACCACTGAGCCACAATCCCAGCCCCTTGCATACCTTTTTAATAGTGATGAATTATTAGGGGCCATAAATAGTTGATATTAAAATTTACCTTGAAGCATCATAAGGTTAAGAATAGGTTTTTTTTTTTTTATAGGTTTAGAATAGTTTTTTATAGAATGTGAAGTACATTTTAAAGTTTCTTCAAAACATTAGAATTAAATTGAGGTGCCAATTAACTGAAAATTTTATTTAAATCATATTGCCTTAATTTCAACCAAATATCTACAATTTTTTAAATTGATTCTTCTTAGTTGCATGAAAAAAGTGTGTGATTGTTGATTTCTGCCTACCCAGTCATTTCACCTTCAAATTAATTTAATCGCAAGTACAATTTTAATCAGTCTACTTATCTAGCAATTAAAGTTTAATACATTCAGCTTTCAAGTATTTTGATTACAATGATAAAACACCAAATTCTTAACCTTGGGATTGTTTGGGTTCCTATTTAGTTATGACAGAATGAGGCTATATTTCCCGAAATCAGATTCCTTTTAGAAAGTTAAAATGTAGTGTTTACTCATATTTGAGATTTTTTTCATTTTTATTTTTAAATGAAATTTAATCCAATTGATTTTTTTTCATGTAGATGAATTTCAATTCTTTATATTCAGCATTTTCTATCCCCAGAAAAATATGTCTGTTATTTGGAACCTATCACCTACTCTTCTGGAGATATAGTATTTCAGTTCAACTGAAACTGACTTATAAACTGCTTTTTGTTTGGCTGATTATTACTTTTTTTCCCCCCAGATTGTTTACTGTCTTTTATTTTTTTTTCCTTCGTAACAGCAAATTTTGGTCCTACATTTATTATTTTTTAAACATCTTTATTAAGATATAATTTGCAACCATATAATTTTTTTATTAAATCATTTATTCTGATTTGTTATACACAATGGCAGAATGCAATTCATTTCATATTACACATATAGAGCACGGTTTTTCAAGTCACTGATGGTACACAAAGTATTTTCACACCATTCGCGTCTTCATACATGTCTAACTCATTCCACCATCATTCCTACCCTCTTGCCCTTGCCCTTTCCTTTCCCCTCCCTCCCCTTTGCCCTAAAGTTCCTACATTCCTTCTATGCCCCCTCCACCCCCCCTAGCCATTATGAGTCAGCATCCTCATATCAAAGAAAACATTGGGCCTTTGGTTTGGGGTGATTGGCTTGCTTCACTTAGCATTATATTCTCCAGCTCTGTCCATTTAACTGCAAATGTCATGATTTTATTCTCTTAATGCTGAGTAATGTTCCATTATGTATATATACCAAAGTTTCCCTATCCATTCAGGCAGATTATTACTTTGTAGGTATTTTACAGTGAGATAATTGAAACTTATAAGACTTTATTCAGTTTATAGATGATGTAAAAAAAATTATAGTTGTATTGAAGTGAAATGTTTTATTTTAAAAATATTTTTATTAGTTGTTGATGAACCTTTAGTTTACTTATTTATTTATATGTGGTGCTGAGAAAGGAACCCAGTGCCTCATACATGCTGGGCAAGTGCTCTAACACTGAGCCACAACCCCAGCCCCAAATGTTTTATTAAAGTAACTTTGCAGAGTTGTTCTTCATAGCATGCTAAAGACACTGCCAGACAAAATCTACTGCAGTGCCTTACACGTGGTAAGAGTTTTAAAAATATTTGTTAAATAAATGAATTAATGCATTGAATTTAAACTATCATGGTCATAGTAACTTACAGGCAAAGTCAGATGTCATTTATTAGATGAATTCTTAACAGAAAATGTTAACTGTTACATATTGAATGTATTTATTTCTGGGACACAGGTGGCGATAAAAATAATAGATAAGTCTCAGCTGGATGCAGTGAACCTTGAGAAAATCTATCGAGAAGTACAAATAATGAAAATGTTAGACCACCCTCACATCATCAAACTTTATCAGGTATGGTTTAGCCTTATATTTCTTCATGCTTGCCATTTTCAGATCTCTATTTTGCATCATGCTTTTTCCTTTTATGTTAGTTTTTTTAATCTATAAAAGAAGAATTAACATATGTTTTTACTAAACCAAACACATCTATTTTTCTGTATTATCCTTAAATAAAAATCTGGAAATCAGAAGCTAACAGGTGATTTTAAATTGTCTCTCAATTGCTGGTTATTTATTTTGCAACTGTGCATTTATGATACCCTGCCTGAACTTTCTGGGTTTTGTTAGTGGTGCCAGAAATGAGGATATGGCACTTGTGCTTATCTTAAAAGCATATTGTTTATGTTTGATGAAATACAATATTATTTAGTGGATACTTTGTAATACCTAAAGCCAAATCTTTTTTTTTTTTAGTTTTTATTTGTTCTTTTTAGTTATACATAACTTTAGAATGTATTTTTACATGTTATACATACATGGAGTATAACTTCCCATTCTTGTGATTATACATGATATGGAGTTACACTGGTCATGTATTCCTATATGAACATAGAAGTTATGTCCACTTCATTCTACTGTTTTTCCTATCCGCCTCTCCTCTCCCTTCCCTTAATTCCCCTTTGTCCAGTTTACTGAACTTCTATTCTTCCCTCCTCCACCCTTTATTGTGTGTTACCACCAAATTGTTTTTTTGAGGGGGTTGATTTTACCACATAAAGTAAATAAAACCATTCTTTTTTTAAATAAAAGATTTTTTTAAAAAAATCAACTTTATTAAGACTAAAGTTTTGTAAACTGTACCTCTTTTAAGTCACAGTTTTAAAAGAAACCTTTTCTCAGGTTTTTAAAGAATACTTCATGTTTAATAATAGTAATATAAAACATTTCTAATATTTCTATTCACTAGTTAAGTAGGCATTTTTAATCAGAACACTTCTAAAACTGAAAGGTCCCAGCATGCTGACTTGTGACTTTCATCTTCAAAGTATGATGTTTATACCCATGGCATTCTGAAGTTGGCTTGTACTGGCCTGTGATATTGATTATTACATTTTTAGAAGTTTGCTGATAAACAGCACATTAACATATACCTCATAAATTAGTCACAGCCCTTTTATCAGAAATCCAATTCAGTTTCACACTAGTGTGCTCTCAAATGGGTTAGTAAAAGTGTCCTTGGGAATATAAGAAGTTCTTCTTATACTAATATTTTATTTCTTCTTATACTTGGAAGTGTGAGAAGTATAAGAAGAAAATATTAGAACTTCTGTTAGGTTTATTGTGTCCTCCTTTGTGCATCTCATAGTGTACATGGTATATTTATACAATGGGACATGTGTATAATTTGTATATCTGTGTATGTGTACATAAATACATGCATATACATGTAAATATAACCTGCATATATATTTGACTAACATTTATTGGTAGACATTTGCAATAAAAAATATTGGAGACCATTGGCTTATGAGATAGCATCCAAGAATGAAAGATTGTAGTGTGCTGTTCAAACCAATTCCTAACATTCTAAAACTACAGAAGCCTTTTAGGTCAAATTTATATCAATGTATTTCTTTCTTTAAACTTTTTTTTTTTAATTCCTAAAAAAAATACTTCTGGGAAACTTATTCTAGGAAATCTCTTGTAAACTGAAGAGTATCATTATTATGATTCACATGATAATCCTATCTTTATTTTTTTAAAGAGTATTTAAAAAATTTTTTAATTATAGATGGACACAATACCTTATTTTATTTATTTATCTTTATGTGGTGCTGAGAATCAAACCCAGAGCCTCACACATGCTCGGCAAGCACTCTACGACTGAGCTACAACCCAAGCCCAATCCTATCTTTATTTATATTAAGTAATTGATTAAAGTAGAGTTATTATTTGATTAGTTTAAGCCCAAATTGGGTTATAGAAAAGCAAATCAATCATCTTGAATCTAAAAATTAGTTTCCTTTCTAAATAGATATGTATTCAGTATAGTTTGAAAAGTCAGATTGATGACAACATACTTTGTGAACCTTGAAAAATAAAATAAAAGTATGTATTTTGGCTCAGTGGTAGAGCACTTGTCTCGCATGCATGAGGCGCTGGGTTCAATCCTCAGCACCACATAAAAAAAATAAATAAATAAAGGTATTGTGTTCATCTACAACTAAAAAAAAAAGTTTTAAGTATTTAGCAATAGAGCTATGAAGAAGAAGCTATCAAACAGTGTTTTACAATTGTAGTACTTTGTAACAATATTTAAGTACAGGAGGAAGAATACTATGTTGTACCAGATTAGCTAGGCTGCAGGCCAGATAAATGAATTTCTTCTATTTTATTTTTCTTTTCTTAAAATCAAGGGTACCACGAAAACTTAGGGCTCAAAAACTCTGTGAGGTGGTGTTAAAGTTGATCTTCAAAACTTCCATTACCTATGTTAGTACTTCTCCAGTTTTCATGTGCATACAAATCACTTCACAATTTTATTAAATTCTAATCCCGTAGGTCCAAGGTGAAGCCCTAGATTCTGCATTTCTAACAGGCACCTGGGTAATGTTGCTACTACTGGTCCTTGGACACATTTAGAAAAAGGATCTAGGCTTTTCATTAAAATATTAGCATACAGATATTGCCTTGTGCACTTCTCTGAACTTTTCATAACTGATTTTTTATTAATACTTTTAATTTAGGTATCCCCATAGAATGTCCTTCCTGTGAGACTAATATGAAATTATGTATCAATAGGTAATGGAGACCAAGAGTATGTTGTACCTTGTGACAGAATATGCCAAAAATGGAGAAATTTTTGGTAAGTTTTTTACCTTAATTTTTTTTTTTTTAATTTGAAAAGGTCACTAATCTACATGGATGGGTTATTTCCTATTCAATTTTCAGCTTATTTAAGAGTTGGGGGCTGAGGTTGTGGCTCAGTGTTAGAGCGCTCACTTAGCATGTGTGAGACACTGGGTTCAAGCCTTAACACCACATAAAAATAAAACAAAGATATTGTGTCCATCTACAACTTAACATATATATATTTTGGGGGGGGGGTAATATGCTTAATTCTCTCATTAGTGTTAAAGAGACTGGATAATCAAAAATTAGGAGAAACTTTCAGTCATGTTGCAACAGAGGTTTTCTTTACTTTTATATTCTTTTTTTTTTTTTTTAATATTTATTTATTTATTTATTTTTAAGTTTTCGGCAGGCACAACATCTTTGTATGTGGTGCTGAGGATCGAACCCGGGCCGCACGCATGGCAGGCAAGCGCGCTACCGCTTGAGCCACATCCCCAGCCCTATATTCTTTTTTACCTTTCTTTCCACGGGAAAGATCGGACAAAGAATTATTGAGTCATGTTATTATGGTTTAGGTATTGGGGATATAATGTTGATTTAATCCCTGTCCTTGTGTCACTACAGCTACCAGACCTCAGGGCAAGTCCCTAACCCCCTCTGGGATTTGATTCCTTTATCTTTAATAAGAACAGTATTCAATTAGTTGGTCTCTGTGATCTATTCTACCCTAAAAATTGAAAGTATTCTATTCTAGCTGTCATCTAAAATATCTATTTATTTTTACTTTACGTAACCACAGTATTCTGGTGTCTAAATAATTCGTTCAAAAATTGTTTTTTAAACAGCTTTATTGTGGAATAATTCACATACAGTAAATTATACATACTTAAATTAATATGTACAATTTGAAAAGTTTTGATATCCATACACATGTCTGTGAAACCATCACCACATGAATATATCCATCACTTTCAAGTTTTTTTGTACTTACAAGCACTACTTTCTGTTTCTGTTCTATAGATTTGTTTGTAGCTTCCGGAATTTTATATAAATGTGTGATATGTACCGCTTTTTAGTCTATCTGCTTTTCCTTGGTATAATTGTTTTAAATTCATCCATTTTGTTGTATATATCAACATAAAATTTGTTTTTTTTCCAAGTAGTCATTTATTATATTAATATACCCCAGTTTGCTTATTCATCCATCTGTTGACAAACACTTGGGTTGGATTCAGTTTGGGGCTATTAGGAGTAAGTTACTATGAGCATTCATATACAAGTCTTTGATTTACACAGTCCACCTTCAAGAAATATTTACCACATCAAATATAGTATAAGAACCTAAAAATAATATACTTCTATTTTGCCCCACCTGGCCTTTATGTTCTTTTTAGATATTCATGACAGTAGAGTGTATTTTGACATATTATACATATATGAACTATAACTTATTCTAATTAGAATCCCAGTCTTCTGCTTGTATCTGTTGTAGAGTTTGACTGTGGTGTATTCAAATATGAACATAGGAAAGTTATGTCCGATTCATTCTGTCTTTCCTATTCCCATATCCGCTCCCTTCCCTTCATTCCCCTTTGTCTAGTCCACTGAACTTCTCCCTCCATCCCCATTGTGTTAGCATCTGCATATCAGAGAAAACATTCGGCCTTTAGTTTTTTGGGGTTGGCGCGTTATGTTCTTGTTATAATATTTTATTTATGTCTGTTATGCCACACGATATAGTTGTTAGTTTTCCTTTAGCAGGTATCTTTTATAAAAACTTCAATGTTTTTTGTAAACCCCTACATATTTACCTGTGTAGTAACCATTGCCACATTATGTGTGCCACATTCCTCTATGTACATGTATAATTTGATCCTCCTTTGTGTGGATTCATACTTTCATATAGAGTTATTTTTCTTTTGCTTAATGATTTACTTTAATATTTCCTATAGCATAGGTGATGAAATCTTTTCAGCTTTTATATGCTAAAATAGTCTTTATCTTGACTTTCTTTTTTGTTGTTGTTGCATTGCTAGAGATTGAACCCAGGGCCTCATAGAGGGTAGCCAAGTGTTCTCTCATGAGCTATGCCCCATCCCTGTCTTTGTTTATGAAAGATATTTCCACTAGGTATAGAATTCAAGATTGACTGTTTTGGTTTTCTTGTCTTTTCTTTTTTAGCACTTTAAATATCTGTTTCACTGTCTTTTCATTAGCATTGTTACTGATAATAAATCTGCTATTGTTCTAAATCCTTTCTATATAATATGGCTTTTTCCCCCCTGTGTCTACTTTTAAGATCTCCCATTTTTACTGGTTATCACATAACAATTTGATTATGATATGCCTTTGTGTGGTTTTCATTATGGTTTTTTGTTTGTTTGTTTGTTTGTTTGGTGTTCACAGATCTTCTTGGACCTGTGAACAACAGCTAAAAAATGTCTAAATGCCTAAATTGAATTCATTCTGTTGTTTTCCTAACTAATTTTTCTGTCCCATTTCTCTTTCTTCTTTCCTCTCCGTCAGAGATTCTAGTCAAACATTTATTAGGTTGTTTGAAATAGACTCACAGCTCACTGGATACTCTTTTTCCATTTAAAAAAAAAAAAATTTTTTTTTTTTTTTGCTCTTTCATTTTAGGTAGCTGCTGTTTCCTATGTCTTCAAGTTCACTGATCTTCTGCAGTGTCTAATCTGCCATTTTCCCCATCTAGTATATTTTTCATCTCAGATGTTGTACAAGTTTAGAAGGAACTTGAAACTTTTTTACAACTTCCATGTATTTACTTAGCTTTTCGAACATCTTGAATACAGTATAATAATTTTTAGTGTCCATGTGTGCTAATTCCAGCCTCACTTGTCAGTTCTGGATCAGGACTGGTTGATGTTTCTCCTCAGATATGTTCATGTTTTCCTGCTTCTTTACATACAAGGATGGAGGGATGGGGATTGGGGGAGTTGGCTGCAATATTAAATATAGTGATCAAGGCACACCTCACTAACATTTGAATAAAGATTTAAAAAGCACAATCCTGTAGCTATGGGGAGAGGGGAGATTATCCAGAGATAGAAAAGAGTAAATTCAAAGGCTCTGAGGCAACAGTTGCTTGGTGTGTTCAAGAGATATCAGGGAGGCTAGTAGGGCTGGAGAGAAGCAAAAGGAAAGAGCAAGAGTGAGCAAGACTAGTAGAAAATGATGTTAGAAAGTAGATCTGAGGCAGGAGTGGGGCAGATTTGGGCCTTAATAAGCCATTTTAAGGACTTTGACTTTTACCTTGAATAAAATTAGGGAACCATTCTCAGCAGAGTTTCAGCAGAGAAGTGAACTGAATCTAATCTAGCATTTTAAAAGTATCACTGAGACACACACTGCTGTGTTAAGAACAGACTATAGTGGGAAGGGATAGAAACAGGAAGATCAGGTCAGAGACTATTGTAGTAGATGATGATAGTTCAGACCAGGTTTGAAGGAGGGTAATAAGTCACAAATTGTTGAACTCAGACTATATTTTGAAAGAAAAAATCAGTAAGATGTTTCGACAGATAAAGACCACTTAAGTAGTGAGTAGTGAATATAATTATGGAAGAAGACAAAGCCTCGTATCTGAGGCACTCAAACATTAAAAGGTTGGGAAAAGAGAAGAAACCAGCAAACGAGCCAGACAAGGAAAAAAAGAGAATGTGGTATCCTGGAAACCAAGTGAACTAAGTAATCTCAGGAGGCTGGAGTGAACATCTGTGTCAGTGAGGCTGATAGGTCAAGAATAGTGGGAAATGACAGTTTACCTTTATATTTGGCAGTTGGTAAGAGCAGTTTTGGTGGAGCAACTGGGTCAAAAGCTTGATTAAAGGGATTTAAAGAAAATGAGAAAAGAACAATGAAGAGATCAAAATAGATGACTCTTCAGAGGAATTCTGCTGCAAAAAGGGAGAAAAGAAATGGGGAGATAGTTGATAAGGACAGTGAGGCCGGGAATGTAGCCCAATGGTAGAGAGGGCTTGCCTGGCGTAGGTGAGGCCCTGGGTTCAATTCCTAGTGCACATGCACTCACATGCACAAAGTGTGTGTGTGTGTGTGTGTGTGTGTGTTTGATTTTTTTATCCAAAACAAGTTGAGAAGGACAGTAAGATCAAGCGAAAGAGGTTGTTGGGTTTTTTGCTTTTTTTGTTTGTTTGTTTGGTTGGTTGGTTTTTGCACCAGGGATTGAACCAGGGACACTTAACCACAGAGCCACTGAGCCATATCCCCAGACCTTTCTATTTTTTATTTTGAGACAGTGTCTTGCTAAATTACCTAGGGCCTCACTAAGTTGCTGAGACTGGCTTTGAACTTGCAACCACCATGCCCAGCAAGAGAAAGATTTTTAAGCCTTTACCTATGGGGATATTTTTAAAGCTTTAAGCTGTAGTTTCATTAAACTAGACAAGGCTGTTACATGGTAGGTGTCCTTTCTATAAAATGGATTGTCTCAGTTCTATTCTCGCTAAGAACTTATCCAAACTCCTGAAACAGATTTGTGTCACTTTATTTTATATAAATTGAGGCATAATTTGGAGATTTTAAATATAATAAAATTTATTTTTAAATGTCTAAAGTAAATGTTTAATCCAAGTTCTGAGAAAAAAAATCTGAAGAAGATAGGAAAGTTGGACAGTGAATACTAGTTATTTTCCTGGTACAGTTATTTCTTGAGCACTGAAGATAATGAGTAATAAAGTTTAATTTTAAAAGATGATGAAGACTTAGGGCTGGAGCTGTGACTTAGTAGTAGTGCACTTGCCTGACATGTGAGGCTCTGAGTTTGATTCTCAGCACCACATATAGTAATAAAATAATGGTCTATCAACAACTTAAAAAAATATTTTTAAAAAAGATGATGAAAACTTTGGATAATCTTCACTATTTTAGAATGAAAGACTCTGAAGAGAATTTAGAGATCATTTAGTCCAATTGATTTTTTATTTTGACTTTGTCATATAGCTTATAGCCCAACCACTCTATTGTCTTTTC